AAAAATTTAAAAGAAACTGGAAACCCAATCCTAGACAGAAAACAAAAGATAAATCTCTGCTCCTGTTCAAAAGACTGAAGAAATGTGTGAACCAGGTGATAGGTTCACCTATCTACTCCTATTTGTATTCTGAATAAACAAAACTTCATTTCTGCTAAATGTTTGTGTCCAGATAAAATACGCTTTGAAATCTAAATAGATATAGCAATGCATACATACATACACACACACACACACACACACACACACACACACACACATATATATATATATATATATATATATATATATATATATATATTTTATACACGTTTCATTAAATAATATAGACAAGTGTTGTCTATTTATTTTATGTAAAATTTGTTCGTAACATCTGATAAGTTTGATAACATTATCATTAAACGAAGAAAGAAATACACAATATTGATCCATATTTTTTTAATATAATCTAAGCTTTTGGCTTACTTAAGCCATTATCAAAGATGTAAATCACAAACATATTAAACAATATACGGACATGACAGTGATGATAGTCTGTCATTGTTTACATAGTTGATCACTAAGCAACGATAAACACGCGCATATAAGACGCTAGAAGCGAAAATCGCACCGCATCTCATGACGTCACACATGACTACTCGAGAGTGAATTGTAGAATGAAGGAAAGCCGTTGGTATAAACCAATGGCTTCTGTTACCAATTATAGACATTTAAGAATATTTGTAGAGATACCATAATTGATTTTGTTTAGGTTGGGTTTTAACTGTTTGATGTATAATGCTTCAAGTATTTTTAGTTTTTGTCTATTGTTTTCATGTCGAAGTATAGTTGTGTTTTCGACAAGTATTTTACGGAATTGTGTGTGCGGGCAGGCATGTTGTTTTAAATGCCTAAAAAATGTTAGAGTTTTCATTAAAATGTAGTGTCAAGTGTCGTGAAAGCGAGTTTGTGGTGTGACCAACATAAATATTATTTAATTCGTTGGAGATACACTCTCCCAAAAGGGCACTTGAATTTATAAACTATGTTGGTTTTTGCAAATCGCTAACGGGGAGAAGAATCATTCGAAGTATTAAGTTGGATATACTAGATTTAGTGTAGTATATGATTAATTTAATTTTTTGCTATGATCTGTAGTTGATATATTAGAATTTACTAAATTTTTTAGTATGTTTTCATCTTGTTTATAATTAGTATGCATTTGATTACGATATAGGAGATTAATATATTTGAGATCAGTAGAAGCAGTATTATGTACAATTTGCTTATTTTCGACAATGACAGACTATCATCACTGTCGTGTCCGTATATTGTTTAATATGTTTGTGATTTACATCTTTGATAATGGCTTAAGTAAGCCGAAAGCTTAGATTATATTAAAAAAATATGGATCAATATTGTGAATTTCTTTCTTCGTTTAATGATAATGTTATCAAACTTATCAGATGTTACAAACAAATTTTACATAAAATAAATAGACAACACTTGTCTATATTATTTAATGAAACGTGTATAAATGAAAATATGTTGCCTAAATACACACAATATATATATATATATATATATATATATATTATTATTTAGTTTAAGCATTACATGCTACTTTGTAATAAATATATCTTGTATTTCTCTTTGGATTTTTGTTCATATCTTTAATATGCTTACTAGAGATTTTCTTCAAAAAAATAGAAAATTGATTTATTAATAGTTTAAAATGTGCTAGCAATTTTTATTTTCTATATGAATAATATGACTACTGTTTAAAGTTAAAAAAAAATTGTCTGATAGTATATTTCCCCCCAATACACTTTTTACAGGCTTAAACGTCTTGGGTTTTATGAAATTTAGATTATATATTCTATAACTTACCAATACCTAAACTTAGTCTAATTCTATGACCATCATTGGTTTGGTTCAAAAGAGAGCTCCACATCTGATGCATATTTACTGATTAGCAAGATTCGCACAATGCAAATTTTTCCTGAGCAAGTTCAGAGGTGAGATTGATGACTAGAAGGTGTACCAAGTTTATGGGTTGCCTCATCTTTGTAGATTAATTCAGTGGGGGTGGCTTTCTGTCAATTCTTTTTATGACAAGAATGCCTGTGACATTTGTGGTGGTTGAAATGGCACTTTTGTCTGTGATATTAAGTGGTGATTGTGGGTGTATGCTATTAAATAGTAGTAACTGAGGGTGCAAAAAAAAATTGGGTAGGCAACATGGTAAAAAGGAAGCTAAAGTAATTTTTTTTTAATTGGTTTATGGTTATTTCAAAACTATTAAGAGGTTATCAGAAAATATTGCTTGAACTTGTTTACAAGATGCAACTTTTGTTAAAGATTTTTATTTAAAAATCCCTTGCATTTAATAGTGAAAGTATTTTTCTTTATATATATATATATATATATATATATATATATATATATATATATATATATATTTATGTGTGTTTAGAATTTAAAAACAACAAATTCTGTAGAAAATATAAGATGTTTAAAATAAACCCCCAAAACTGTGCTTGACAGTAGAAATATTGTCACCACTGAATCAAGTATAGACAGACAATTAAAATTCTGGGCGCTGTAAACTTCTTGGTGTGACTCTTGGTTTTGCAACCATTTGATCATCAGGTACCCAAATTTGTGAGAAGCTGCATACACCACTACCACCATGTGGAAACTGACAGTTGTGCCAGGAATATTACTGCAACCAGGATTTTAAGCAATTTTGTCAATTTATAATTGACTTTTATATAAAAATTATTAAATTTGACCAATAATGTCTATTAATATTTTTATTGTATTTTTCAAATTTTTGAATAAGTTGGTTGTTGTACATCCAAATCAAAACTGGAAAAAATATTCAAACTTTGTTCTTGTTACTTTTGACTGTCTTGGTTATTATCAAGAAATGTTTTGAGTGCAGTAGAAAAGACATGTGTGGAACAGTTTGACAGAGCTTGACAGCACCAGAAAATGAATATTTCAAATATATACATATATTATTTTTTTTTATATGCATGTCAAATATTTTATACACATTTCAAGATACTTTAATGGAGGTTGTGTTTTTTTTTTGTTTTTTTTATACAATAATAGCTTCAAGATTTTGAGTGAATGATATATATATTACTTTTATTGCCTGTTAATATTTATCATATATTTATAGTTGTATTTTGGATGTTTGTGATGTGGACAAATTCCATTAACTTTCAATAAATCACAAGTTAACCTACAACATCATGTGATTGTATGATCAATGTAAGAAATTGATTTTTTTTTTTTTTTTTTTTTTTTGGAATGCAACCTCCCAAAGGACATTGACAATTCATAAACAATATTGTTTTTACATAGGGATATATTGAAGTCCCCCTGAGTTATCTATGTAAATAAAGCGCAGTGTACATGCATCCATCCACCTGTTTTTGGAATTCTGCAAATCATAAACAACCTGAAGTAACCAGTAGTAACTACTGTAGTTATATGCAATTAAAAACTATAATTAACTCATTTTAAAGTTAAATTTAAATATCAAAGTGAAAGGTTTAAAAGTCAATTCTTTATTAAAGGTTTAACTTTAATTTTGCTTTTTGATGCAATTGATGTCATCTAATTAAATCATAATTAAAACTTAAATGAGGCATGGTACATTGCTCATGTTTGTTTGTTTTTGTTTGTTTTTTTTTCTAGCATACTGTGGCATTAAAAATGTTATAGTTTGAGTTCCCTAATGTCTTTTAAGAGTGACTTTATGTCAAGGGATCATAAAGAATGGTGATTTTTTTTTTTTTATTATATATATATATATATATATATTTTATTTTTATCTGACTTTTTTTTTTTTATTCCAAATGTTATTTTTAGTGGATACCTGTGTTTGAAATAGACTCCTGGTTTTTTATTTTAAACAGTGTATATTACATCTATCAACCTGCTTATTTGGGGTGCACATTTGACCTTTCAATTTTTATAAGCTAATTTGCTTTAAAAATAAATCTCTGTCAATACAATCCATCTATAGGCAGATTTGTCGACCAGTAAAACAGTTTGTTTTTGTCATCTACTCATTGCCCAATTTTTGGTACTAGTTTTTTACATTCCATTGCTTTTATTTATACTAATCTTTTATGTATAGGAAAGAACTGTTTTGTTTTTGCTTTTTCACTAGAAATAAGTTTCATTGAACAAGTTTATGTAAAAAGTTTATAAGGAAACTTAACTTTCTTCATTTGTATTAAGATAGGATGGTCTTTTCTGCTTGCAGACTTTGATATAATACTTATATCAAGTTACAGTCTAAAGGAATTGCCTAAAAAAATCTCTTCATCTCCTTTCTTCCAAAGAAAACTTTTTCCTCCTTCTTTGAAGACCTTATAGAATAAATCCAAAAGACCACTTTCATACTGTTGGGGAATGAAATTGTTACCTCTGAAAAGGAATTAGTGATGGAAGCTTAATCAGAATTCATGCTGCTTTACCCAATAAATCTCTCATGCTAACAATTATCTTGGTTTTCTTGTATTATTTTGTATTGTAGATATTTTCTACAATTTGTTGTATATGCATTTTTTCTTAATAGCGTTGAGCTTCTGAATTTATCTCTCTTATTTTGTTAAGGCAATTATAGTAATCTGTGTCCAAGATCAGTATCTGATTAACGGTGGGCTCATTTCACTGTGAAGAGAAACTAATCAACATTGTTTCCAGTGTTGCATTTTCTTGTCCAGAAATAATTACTGATGCAAGGTTGGGAGATTTAATTGTTCTCTCTTCATTTCTATTGCAAATCAATTCTTCATTTTTTGTCTTGTTTTCTGAAGCCCTTATTAGGTTCTTGGTAATTGTGCCAAGAATTGCATTCTTGCACGGATGAAAATAATCTTAAAATCATTATTAACATTATTGTTTCTCTTCTGAGAATTGATTGATGCCTTTTGTTTTGGTTTGACTTGTATACAAAAGCATATTATACCAACTTCATAAGTCAGTGGAATGATCAAATGTTGATTGCTACTAGTATAACTGGTGAAGGGCCATCATTAGTTGTTGCTAATCCAAACATTTACCCCCTGGATAAACTTATTTCTGTACGACATTAAACAAAGCAGTTTTTTCAATACCATATCTTAAAATGCTTTGATTGAATAAAGTCTTTCCATTCTCTCATATTTGATGTGTGTGTGTGTATATATATATATATATATATATATAAAATATGCACATTTAATGTTTTTTCCCCTTTATTTATTATATTCTGTAATTTATAAGTGAAAAGATTTAAGTAACTTTACAATGCTTATACAATTAAAACATTTTTTTATTATACTTTCATTCACCCAATACAAGGCTCAAGTGCCTCTCAAAGTAGATGGTTTCTGTATGGTGTTGTATGAGCATGAGAGAACTCAAGAAGTGCAGTTTATGAGGTTATGTAGAAAAATAAGCAGTTGACACTTTACTCAAGAGGTCAATATTGTAGTGATTGGGAAAACCTCTTACTGTAAGTCTGTTCCAAAAAGCAACAAACTTCTTACTAATGGATTGTGTACATTGCATGGCAGGTCCCAGCTGCAAAGGTCAAGGTTGGTTAACCAAAGAATGTAGCACCACAGAACACTTGCCATGAAAATAATGATAGAATAGCAAGAGATTTACGATGTTTTGTCTGTAGGGGGAGAAAAGGGTTGTAGGGTGGAAAATAGTTCATCACTCACAAGGCCGCATAGACGTTTTTGAACTCTATCAAGATAGGCAGGTGAGCACTGGACAGCTCCAGCCCAAATATGGCAGCTATAATCCGTTTTTGGTGTGATCTATCTTTTGTAAAGATAGAGTATAGCAGGGGAGTCAGATAATTACTGGAGCAGTACAATGAACCAAACATTTTTCCAATGTCTTTTGCAATAGATCACACACACACACACACACACACACACACAATATAAAGTTCCATTTTGAAGTCTAGGGTGAACTTGAATTCCAATAGATATTCATGGCAAGAAGCCTTCTTGAGAGCCATCATGATAGGTGAATGTTCAGGGTCTGCTTGGTGATGGTGGAATTTTACAAGCCAGTCCTTTCCCCAATGCACCACCTGGGCTAGGCCAGAGTAGGATCAGCTGCTAAATTCTGGTCATCCAAATCTTTGTATCATTTGCATAGATATTCACTAAAGATTAGAGCATATAGTAGGACTGAGGTGAGACCCTGAGGAATGCTGGCATTGATCTCCTGAGCTTCCAATGACTGGCCATTAATAACCTTCAAGGACCTACCTGTCATGAAGAGTTTGATAAATGAGAAAATTTATTGGTTTTATTAATTGTATGCAGAAGTTTCTTACAACAGAAATAAAATAATGGCTTTTCAACAGGGTTTTTATTACCCCACTACACTTCCTTCAGCTTTGTCCCTTCAGGGCATATGTGATCATGGCTCTACATGGCTTCCATTTCTTTTTTATTCCTTTATCTTTATTTTTTTCTCTCTCTCCTTTTTCTGTCTTTCTCCACCCCTTTTTCTCCACCCCTTTTTCTCCACCCCTTTTTCTTGTCTCCCCTTTTTCTTGTCTCCCCTTTTTCTTGTCTCCCCTTTTTCTTGTCTCTCTTTTTTTTTCTGCATTTTCTTTCCTCTCTCTCTTTCCCCTCTCTCTCTTTCCCCCTCTCTCTTTTTCCTCTCTCTTTCCCCTCTCTCTCTTTCCCCTCTCTTTCCCCTCTCTCTCTTTCCCCCTCTCTCTCTTTCCCCCTCTCTCTCTTTCCCCCTCTCTCTCCCCCCTCTCTCTTTCCCCTCTCCCCCTCTCTCTTTTCCCCCCCTCTCTCTTTCCCCCTCTCTTTGTTGTCTCTCTCTTTCCCCCTCTCTCTTTCCCCCCTCCTCCCCCCCCTCTTCTTTCCCCCCTCTCTCTTTCCCCCCTCTCTCTTTCCCCCCTCTCTCTTTCCCCCTCTCTCTCTTCCCCCTCTCTCTTCCCCCCCTCTCTCTTTCCCCCCCCTCTCTCTTTCCCCCCCTCTCTTTCCCCCCCTCTCTCTCTTTTTCTCTCTTTTTTCTCTCTCTCTCTCTCTCTCTCTCTTTTTTTAAATTGCCATGACTTCCCCATTCTAACAAGGTGGCTAGTAATTTTTGCTCACACCTAATATATGCTTGATTATTAATAATGTAACTCCTTTAAGGATGCACTGCACAAAATTAAAATTTATATATTTAAGTATCATTATATACATTGTGTTCAGGAAAACCACCTGAAAATCTACCATCTCTGCTGCCTATGACATATCCTCAGCATCACATAGAGAGATGGTGACCAACACTGCTGTATTAGTGCAAACAGACTTGTGGAGCATGTCTCTCTTCCTCTTTCAGCATTGTCTTTGATGGCTGTGTCATGTATGACAGCATATACCAAAAGGCATCGCATATGTGAGTTGGCCATGGGACACCGTGTGGTTGTCTGTCTTGCACTATACTTCAAGGACTTTTGCAAGAGGGACCTGAAACTTGTAAGAATTGAATTTGGTAGCTGGAAACTGCTAGCAGATAATTGCAGTGGCTGTTGCCATGCTGTTTGAGGAGGAGTCATATGAGCAAAAAAAATAAAGCCAACAGTTGGTGATCAGAAGAATTTCACATTCCAGTTTTGTCTATTACACCTGCAGAAGAGTGCCATGCAAAGATTGGACTATTAAGCCACTCCAGATACCATTCACAAAAGGACTGAATTATGATCAAACAGGGTACTACCATTATCTCGCAAGTTAAATTGATGCCTACTATATACATTGTGCTCATGGTTGCACATAAAGTTAATCAATATTCAATGGGTAACTATAAAGGAAAAGAATGTCTATATTTTACACATATTGCACTCTACCACACACACACTTTTCTGGGAAGTTTGTTTAACCCCCCCCCCCAATTCATCATTATTTTTTACTATTCTTATTACTTACATTATTTTTCTATTTTTTTTCAGGTGTTCGAATACAAAAGCCGACAAAAGATGTAGAAAGTATATTAGTAAATGTGTCTGGCAAGTTGCTGATGTTTCAACCTGAAAAGTCAAGTACACACATCAAGGAAGACAATAACAAATATCATTTGGTAATGTATCACTTGTAGCTTTTCTTTTTCTCTTACATTACAATTTGCAGCTTTCATTTTTATGGCTATTCACTCACAGTCATTATTACTTAATAGGCATCCCTTTATTTACTTTGTTGACATAAGTGCACATGCATACATTTTTTTTCTCTCATTAGTTGATATTTTCAGCCATTTACAATTAGTAGATTTTCAGCCATTTACAATTAGTAGATTTTCAGCCATTTACAATTAGTAGATTTTCAGCCATTTACAATTAGTAGATTTTCAGCCATTTACAATTAGTAGATTTTCAGCCATTTACAATTAGTAGATTATTTATGTACTTTCTTGTATTTTGCTTTTTCAAAAATGCAATCTATTTCAAAGTGTTAAAACTTACCAAAATTTCATTAGTGCCAAAGAATTGTGTTAGCCTTCCATCATTCAGTGCAGTCCAATTTTTTTTCTTTATAGTAATAAATACATAATTAACTAATGGTCTCTTAAGCTCTATATTGGTTGTGTTTGCATGTTGTAAATATAGTTCAGTAATAGATATCCCCCTGTCTATGTGTATATGCCTATTTTATGTATATTTATTCACATCTATATATTTATAGTTATGTATTGTGGGGAAAGAAAGTTTTGACAAGGTGTCAATAAATTGTTATATATTAAAAAAAATCTCTAAATTTACCCACTCCTCCATCGGTGTTTCAAAGGATATCAAATTTTTAATGTTAGCAAATTATTTCATTGTATTGCTGTAGGTTAAAATGTTTCTAGAAATTTTGTGTATTTTGCTTGTGTGTTCTTGGTACATAATTTACTTTAAATTAATAATCTAATTACTTAATGTCACTAAGTTAATTCTTTGGTCTAATATTTGTAACTCTGTTGGATGATATATATTTTTTTTTAATTATCAGTGGTGTTATTGACTATTCAATATTATTTTCAGTGTGCATCATAATGGAATTGATTGAATTTAACAATAAATCTCTCTAAATATTGTCCAATTGTAATATTTTTATTTTTTATAATTGTGTTTCTTATCTATAAATTGTAATTAGTAATTTTTTTCATGATTATTGTAACCAAGTTTCATGAAAAGTGACCTTACCTATCAACTATTTTCTGTATCTATGTTCTTGTGGATATTTATATTACAGATTTATTTATTTAAGAAAAAAAAGTACTTGTATTGTGTTCCATTCATAACTTTAACATAAAAATGTTCTGTTTCTGGAACAAAATATTAAATGTTTTTCAATAAAATTGATATTAAATATAAAAATAGCTATTTTCAATTAATAAACTGGACATTTTTTTTGGTTACCAAATATTATGTAAAATATTAAGATATTGAAAGTAATAATTAAAATATGTGATTAAAGTTATATATATATATATATATATATATATATATATATATATGCCTAACTGACTATACAGGCTTTCAAACCTACTTTTATTCATATTGCTGACAAAATGTTTTTTTTTCTTTTTCATACTATAACTTTAAAATTGATAAAATTCCCTGTACATTACTTAACAAAAATAAATTTGTAATATCACTTTATAGAAACTCAAATTAATATCACGTTTTTTGTTTTCAGGATGGTCCATTTTGTTCTCCATCTGTTGTGGCAAGTTCAGTGGAAAATCTCTGGACAACATCAAAGGCAAATTTGGGCAAGATGCAGTTAATGGAGGCATTGTGGCTTGGTTGTGGAGCTCAGGGAATGAAGGTATGTGCAATAATGTCATTTTAGATAAAGTAAGAATTCAGTACAAAAACAGAAAAATATAGAATAAATGAAGTCATGGTTTTATAAGAGGATAAATAAAACTCCTCTTGTAAAGAAAATCTTTATTTTTCTGTATTTCCAGAATATATTTTGTCTAGTCATTGACTTTTAACAAATGTTTTCACATTAGATTTAAGTGTTGAGTTATGGATAATTTTCTTTCATTTTGGGGGGGAAAAAAAATAGTAAGGTATTGTTATGAAATGTTTTGTTTGTAATTTTATATTCAGGTTATAAATTATATCTAAGCAGAGCAAATTGTGCACAAATATCCATTTTCTATTTGTTTGTATATTCAGTAAAACTAAATTTCTATGTAAACACAAATTTACCCAAAAACAAAGATTCAATGTATTTGACTTCTAAAATGATTTGCTAAGTTTCAGTAATATCTAACGTGTTTGTGTGTTTGTTTTTTTTGTTGATGTTGTTGTTGTCTTTGTTGTTGTCTTTGTTGTTTTTTATTTTGTTTTGTTTTTTTGATGAATGCAATTGCTTGCACATAAGTACAAAATCATTTATAAACACAAGTGATTATTCCAAAATTACTTGTAACCTTTAAAGTAGCAGGCTTGTTATTTAAATGATTATAAAAATATAGTTTGTAACTTATTATAGATTGTTTTCCTTTGTTTAAAATTAGTGCTACTTTAAGTTAATCTGATTATAAGATGTTAATGTATTTAGCTTCATCTTAAATACTTAACCATTTATTTATTTTTAATCTTTTCAAAGTGGTTAATATAAACACATGCTGGATTGTTATCAAGAATAAAATTACAGAAAATTTTGTAAATGAAATAATATAACACAATTTAAAAGCTAATATTAAAGAGGAAATGAAATGATTTTATAACTTACAATTGTTATTCCTGGTAAATAAGTAATTGCCAGTGTTTTTATTAATTCATTTTATTGTCCACTAGCAGTAGAGCCCAGCGTTGCCCGGGGATGTAACAGTAAGAGATAGATCAAGTATCGACCATCATAAAAGACTGAAAAATAAAATTGACAAAGATTATTGTTTAAGGTTGACAGACACGCATGTCTTAATTAGTTTTTTTTTTTTTTTTTTTTTTTCTTTTTTTTTACGAATTGGTCAAACCCAAATTCAAACAAAATCATTGTTTACAATCGTTATGAGTCTATCGATTGGTGAATAGAATTTTATTATAAACAATTGTCTTGTAAATGGAATTTTAAAAGCATTCTGAATGTAAATAAAAAGAAAAAAGTGTGCAAGACAATAAAAATACTACCTGCGAAAAAAAAAAAGTGGATGTTTGTTTTATCGGCTGAAAAATGTAAAAACCGATCCCATATATAAAAGGAACACACACACACACACATACACATAAACAACCTGGGTCTTTTAACCTAAGTCACTCCACGGAATCGCTAAAACATAGAGCATAGTCTGATGAAAAAAGACGCCAAAGTTTATGAAAACAAAATTTTATCGTCAAAATGCTTATGTTTTTTTTGTGAAGAGGATAGACTAAATTTTTTTTAATTATTTTTTAAAATTTTTCCATCTTTTAGAATATTCTAAATTTTGATTTAAAAAACCTTGTTTCTCTTTTGTCGCAACAAGGGGTAGTAAATAACACAGATAATTTTAGTGCGTTTTTTGTATTTACACACATTAATTTGGAAAATCTTGCAAAAATAAAAATAATTGTCAGATGTTAATGAAACTTTCAGAAACTATTCACAGATGATCGAAATTATTATAAATGTTTTTTTTTTTTTTTTAAAGTCATGGCAGAAATATTTTTTTTCTATTTATTAACACCCCCATAACTAATTTTATGAAAAACTCTAGAAATTTGAGACCATCAGTTTTAGTGATTACAATAGTTAAAAAAACACAGGGCTTTGAAGAATGCAAATCATGTTTTTTTTTTTTTTTAATAACGTACCTGAAAATCAGCTGTGAATTGTAAACATACAAAAACTCAATAAAACAAATATATAATTTAGTTTCAAATGCTTCTATTTGTTTTAATTTGTTTTTATGAATATGGACAATATTTTCTGAAAGCAAAAAATTTTTTCAATGAAAATTGAATTTTTAATACAATTATTTCTTATTTCTTTAATTTTAAAAAGATTTTTAAAAAATGTTTAAATTGAATTTAAAAAAATATTTTAACATTAGTTAAAAGCAACATCAACCTTTCAAAATGTCTGTGTGAGATTGTCATTGTCTAGCGCTTTGAAAATTGTATAATTTGGACCAATCAGATTAGCCATGGTAATTAAGAAATGTAATTTTGTGTTTATAGTCGGACAGTAATTATCAAAAACGGAAGACCAACCAGAATACAATTTAGTTGCATTATTTGAGTTCAGCATTGTTCTCCACTGTTAAGCCCTTTACTTTTTTTGTGAAACATGTATGGAGAAGTTAATTTGAGTTTTCAATTTCAACTGAGAAGGGTACCTACAAGTAACAGTATCATCTTATGAAATTTAACTACTGCTAAACTTTAATTTATATGATCTTATTTTTATATTAATCTGTTATGACATTTTTCCATAAATGAAATATCAAAATTAATAATAAAATGAATGGAAATACAAATAACACAGTAAAATGTAATAAATGTACATAAAATTATAGTATTTTATGTACACTTCTGATAAAATTTCATAAGAAAGGTACCTAAATTAATTAGATACCTTTTTCTTATGAAATTTAATCTCACTATTAACAGTCTTATTTTTTAATTTCTTTATATTTTCCATAAAGCATCGTAAATGTAAAAATGAAAGCTAAGTACAAAAATAATATAAAAAAATTAGAGCGCTGAAAAGTTTTCCTTAAAAGTAACAAGGTAAATAATTTGTTCACTTAAATAATTTCACTTCCTTCCATCCGTGAAAAGAATTCTCCTCCCGTAAGTTATCTAAACGTCATGAATGTGCCTTTTTCGTCAAGCGACGCGAAAGGTTATGACCTGCTTTGTTTTATTTTCAAATTACATTTTTTCGGGCAGAAGCTAAGTTAAGCTTGGTTCAAAATATTTTAAATAAACAGTATAATTTCTGTTTTTATTAAAATCAGTTTTGAAAAAATGATAATTGATTTTTAAAGAATATCAAAGTAAGATTTTAATGTTTTTTATCAAATCGAAAAAAATGATTGAAGATGATTATCTGTCCTTTTTTTTTTTTTTTTTTTTGAAAAAAAAAACAATATTTTAATGAAAATTTCAGACGTGCTAGAAACGATTAAAAAAATGTAAAAAAATACCCCCAAAATACTTTGATCTTTCCTCTTTAATAATAATATGAACATTAGACGATAAAATTTTGTTTTTCGTCAAGGTCGGGTCGTTTTTTCATCATGCTATGCTCTTTTGTTTACATTTTCGTGGGTGAGTTGTCCCCTTTCATTCTCACGATGTGTCTTAATCGTGTTTTCAAATTGATTTTCTTAAAAAACAACTGTGTTTTTCCCATTTTCGGCCCCATTAGAACCACCACAATGTAATTTTATGTAGTCCTGTGAAGTTTTGTTGAAATCGGCTAAAAAATGTAGGAAATTCGATTCAACATATAAACGTTACAGACACACACACACACAATCTGCGTTTTATAATAAGATTAACTGTAAATATATTGCTTATAATTTTGAAAAGGGCTATTAACATTCCAAATTTTGTTTGGACAATTGTTTTTGATATTATCTTGATCAAGAACACAAAGTGGTTAAAATGTTTGAACAAAATTTAGAATATTTCAAGTTATTTTTAAATGTATAAATGATGACCAGCCAGTTTTTTGCTGATTGGACATATTGATATATTTCTCGATGATTAGTGTTGATGCAAATGAAATTGGTTTCATTCCTATCAGGTTTTTTTTTTTTTTTTTTTTTTTTTTAAACATTTATTGTAATTGATCAATATGAACAGGGTTTATCTATTCTATTATCTATATCTTCAGTGATTGTATATTTTTTTTTTATAGCATCACATTCATGATACTTCTATATGTATATTTTCCCACTAGGTTTGGTTGCCTTTGTTCCCAAGAGATGAAGGCAAAACTCATAATTTCATGTCCAAGAGAATTATGTTGCCATTTAAGGTAGACATTTATCCTCTGGGTAAGTATATGATCTTATTTCAGAGACATTTATTTTCTTAAATGTGGTTATTTTTTATTTATTTTAATGCTCACATTAACTGATAGAATCTGTTATAATAATTTTCTTGTATGTATTTGAAAATTATTTTTTCATCATATTGGAGATTTATCTTATTAGTTCTGAAATTCATTAATTAGGATTCTTTGCTAGCATACTAAACTTGAGAATCTTATGAACAACTTTTTCTCCTGACTTCAATTTTAGTTGTTTCATTTAAATATTGGGTTAGATTCCAATTTTTTAGCTTGTCTGTACTCTACAATTTATTTGAAAAATCGATTTCCATTTTATGATAATGTCTATACTTATGAAACTAAACTTTTGAAAGTTTTTATTTCCTTTTTCTATTCTGTGACATATTTCTGTATTTTTATTTTGCTTGAAAAGATTAATGTTTAAAATTAAATTTCTGCATGGTTCTTGATAGTTGTAAATATTATACCTTACATGCTTATGTAAAGGATGCATTAGTGAGGTTATGTTATTGATATAAACAGTATAATGGTAATGGGTTTGTTCTAATCAGTAAAGGTAGCACTACATGCCATGTGTCTTTCTGTGGTAACCTGAGGGTCAAAAGCCCTTGGGCATGGTACCAGATGTAACACTATACGCAGGAGGCAATATGGCAGTTTGATATGTGTATGGTGTTTTATCCCTCTTTGTTTTCATTTTAGGCATGTAGTACTATGGCTAGGAGCATCTGCTAGTTAACCAATCACAGGTTTGGTTATGTCCTGAACAGACACCTCTACCAACCCTATGTTTAGATAGGATCTGAAGAAGTCCCAAGCTCAGGGTTGAAACATTGCAAACCTGGTGATCTCTTCTTACAGCTGCTGCTATGAATTGTTCCTTCCATTTCTCTTTTCTATCTTCTATATGTCACTTCTCTCTGGTGGCCTTGATGAAACTCTTAAAATTATACCCTGTTGTGTGTGTGTCCTACTAACTTGCTATTGGTACGATTTGATATTCTCTAAGGGTTACTTTTGCTCAAGAAAACTATTCTTCCTAAAAGATCATTGGCACATATGTCTTTATTTAGACAAACTACATCACCCATCTGTCAGTTTTGTTTGAGTTTTTCAGAAAGCTATTCCTATGAAATTCTGCTGAAGAATCTAAACCAATTGGATGGATAAGTTTTTATATAAATATACCCTCAAGGTTTTTAGAGATAATTCTTGCTTATTGAGTATAGTAGATGAGTACAGGACTCTATCCAGTTATACTAAGTTATCTGCAAATTAATATTTAGGTTTGATTTGTCAAGAACACCTCAACTCATCTAATTTCTCATCATAACTAATTATACTTCTTAGGTCTTTTCCACATTCCATTAATCAATAAACACAAATTTTCTTTCACATTCTTTCCTGGTTCTATTTTATAAAACCAGGTTTTTCTATATTAATGGTTTGTTTAATGTTTATCCTTCTTAGGTCTCTGCTTTGCCCTTGTTGAATAGATTAAGATTTGATATTATTGTCAATGTGACAATGTATTCAACATTAAGTGTAAATTTTCCAAAATAAGCTATTGAATGAATAAAAGTTAAATATTCAACTTTAATATATTTAAGGAAATGAATTTTTTTTTCCTTCCTGATGGAGGACAGTGTACTGATGATAGGTTGGGTGGGGATTATGGCTCTGCTGTTTACATAGGTCTTTATAGTTGGTATAAGAATGATCTCAAACAAAGAATCAACATTGAAAGTTTTCAGAGAAGTAGGACTTAAGATAATCCTTTCCAAAACAAAAGCCATGGAATTAGAATGTGAGAAGTAGTGACACATACTCTGAATCTATCATAAAAATTCTAAACACTTTAAATACTTTGATGCATGGATCAGTTATAAATTGAACATGGGATAGGCTGTACTAGGTGTACTCTTGTCTGGCACTATAAGGTGCTACAAAATCAAAATATTAACCTTAAAACCCTATTCATGTTCATAAATAGCCTCATCAGGCATAGATTTTCATATGGATATCATGCATAGCATCCAACATTCAGAAATATCTAAACTATCATATATATACAATTGTTTTCTCAGATTAATGATTAAAAATGGTTTCAAGCAAATGAATACTTACAGAAGACACCATTAGAACCAAGAGTTTGGTGGTACAAAATCAGTTTTACCAATCTGAATTTTGTGAATATTTCTGAAAGAGAACAGAAGTATTGAATGGTAGCAATTTGTGAAATTAAAGCATTCATAAAACTAGGTTAAGGAATTGTGAATCTCTTTAAGAGAGTCACTTATATTAATCATTTATGCATATGATCAAGTAAACTTTAGCAAATTGTTTCCTTTTTAGTTTGTTTTATATTTTTGATTCACCACTTTACAGCTTTTTTTTTCTTTTTCCTTATTTTTGCTCTTCCTTTGTTTTATATATTTTTGCATAGATTTACGCATACTTTTAAACTGTCCATTTTTAAAACCCTGATAATATTTTGTACCCTGCCAACAGATTATTTAAAGAAATTTATTAATTTCTATCTGAATTTCTGTGATGAGGAGTCCTAAGTATTTACATTATTTATACTATTGTTCTCATCTTTGTTGCCATCATAACAAAGTTTCTGCTATTGTACCCTGTGGCCTTCATCAGGTTCTTGCTGATCCTGATAACCTTCAGGGAATTTTGAACTTAACCCTTTATTTAATCTACAGGTGTAGATTGTCCACATTCCACTATTCATGTCAAGGGACCTCTCATCTAGTTTGTATTTAGTACTACTCAATTATTGCTTGCTCTGTTTCCACTGCACTACCCAACCAAGGGTTTAAACTCCTAGTTATTGTCACCAAATTCATAAACCAATGCTTTAATCTATGGGACGATTCAGAAAGTAGAACCTGGAGCTTTAAACTTACTCTACCTCTTGCTGCTGCTTATCATGCTTGACTAAATTCACCAAGGCTTCTCTGTTTTTGCTGCTGTTGAAGCCTTGCTACCATTTCTCTTTATTTATTAGTGGCTCACATATCCTATTTATTTCTATGCTAAACCTATTAAGGTCTTTATACATCAGCATATGTGCTGATGATTTCAGGTATCTGACACTCCAGTGTTCTTCTCTGACTAATATTTTTACTTCCTTCCATAAGAGTTTTCCTTCCATACATGATCAGCCAAGTCTGATTTCATTGTATCTCTGTTCCCCAAGCCTTTTAGGAAGCAGCTCATTTCACCTTTATATTTTTTGGAATACACAAAATTCTTGGTATACTCTACTGGGCTTGATTCTGCAGAGATTACTCCATAGATTTCTTCTGAATATTGTCCTGATGTTGTCTGGGCCACAGATCTTCTGTATCCTTTCTGATAACCTCTTGATGTAAGAGAGACAGACTATGGCAGTTTTCTAGTTCTCCTCAATCCTTCTATTTCAGCCTGCTAGCATGGTACTGATTTTTCTGAAGAATACATTTGTTGCTGATCATTATTTGTTAGTCTCCCTCACTTCTTTCATCACATCAACCAGCCATTAACCTGTTATTGCCATCATTAATTGGCATAGTTGGTTTCCCATGTTGTGATCTTTACCTCTATTTATGAATAACCTTCACTTTATGCTACACCAGTCAATAGAAAAATGCTGTTGCAAACATTTTTTTTTTTTTTAAAACTAGTTTTCATTGTTGCGTGTTATCTCAATGTTTTTAAGTTACCACCATTCTTTGAGCTTCTTTTATGGAAAAATCTTTGTAATGAAAATATTTCATTTAATGATCTCAGAATAACTTATTATCACATGGTAGCCAATAATACACCATGGAATATATTGGAAAAGACATGCAGCAAAACTACAAATGAAAATCTTGGTATCCTTTAAGGCATTATGCATGAAAGACATACTTTTGAGGTATACATTGAAAGTTACTCTCCTATGAAGTTACTTAATCAGCCAAGTTTTTGTTTACATCTTTGAGAACAGCCATTAACATTCCAAATTTAATTCAAACAAATTGGAGTCAAGGAACATAAAGAGAGCGATGGAAAAACACAAATTAGCAAGTTGAGCATGCATTATTACTCTTTCTGTGATTAGGTGCTGGCATTTGATACAATTGAAAGAGACAGGCTATATTTGCTTTTTACATAGGTGCAATAGTCAGGCTTATAGAGTTCAGCACTATGTGGCTTTCTTGATTTGGTAAAGAAAGTATTCCACCATAAAATGAAACTGGAATTGTCTGTATACATGAATGTTAGCAATGTTTTATTTGCATATTTAACATTGTTAAAATGAATTGATACACTGGGTACATTCATGACCATTTCTGTCATCATTTTCTAATGAAATAGAATTTTTTTTTCTTTTTCTCCTGGATTATACGTCTAATGTAGGTTGAAGAATGGATTAGTGTAAACATTGTGGGAACATCAAAAACACTAATAAGTGTCTGAACAAAATTTGAAAACCTAAATAATAAATCAGTTAAAAAAATGTTTGCCACAGAAAACAGATAAAGAAAATTGGTTTAAAAAAAAAAGAAAAAAAGTGCAATAAATCTCAGAATTTCAAATAAGAGAAAATATCAAAATCTTATTTTTCATACCATATATTGTGATCTGTCATGAGTTTTTCATCCTACTGACAAAAAATAAAGCATTTATATGCCCATATTAAAAAAAGAAAAAAATTTAAAAAAAACTGCATAACTCAGTAATTGAGTCAGAATGCATAAACTCTATATCTATTAGAGCCAAAAGATTAAATCTCTGAATTTTTGATGTAAGCAAATTGTCTTTCATTGATGACCTAGTGTTATTAATAAAGAATGGATTTTGTTTGAAAGAAATTCATATGTTTCATAGACACTTTACTGCTTCAGTGGTGAGTGGGCTGCACTGGAAATTGATCTTTTGATTTGAGTAGTCCTATGTTGATGTAGTTACATAATGAGCAGTTTCTTCCAACTCTATAATGGGCAGAATGTCAGATGGGATCAAGCAGTAACATTGATAATTGGAAGATCAATAAAGAACTCTGAACTTGTGTGAACTGAATGTGGAAAAACTGTTCCAAAATAAACAGCTGCCATTTATGACTAATGATTACTAAATGTCTTTATATAGATGATGATTAGAATAGTATAAGTTTGTATATATGAAAGGAGGGCAATCTTCTATGTACATTTTCTGTTTTGACCTATTAACGCTCAACTTGTAAAAACTAACATGAACAGTTGTATGCTGCAAAATTAACAATTCAAAATATTTTTGCTTTTAGTTTTTCTATCTTATTTAAGATAGATGAGTATAAAGTTTATACCTGGAGAAACATGATCTTTGATTCAACTTTTGCTGTTGGTTTGGTTGGACATTACTTTTTCAGCTGAAAGGAAATTTGAGTTTTAATCCCATATTGTTGGAGTTGGGATAAATCATTGAAAGAAATAAAACGACAAACTATATTGAGAATAGTTTACTTAGCCTGAACAATTATGTTTTGGGAGTAAAAAAAAATTATTTTGTTTTATAAAGTCTGTAAATTAAGTATATGAATAGAATTTGAAAAACTTTATTAAATTGTGATTATTCTATTTATAATTATAAAATTATTGTTGTATTGAAATAAGAGAAAAAGAATGAAGCAATGGCAATTGAATAAGAAATAGATGGTGTATGTTAAGAAAAAACACAAAAAGGAGTTATTATCTATCAAACTAACCACAGCACCAAAACTAAGATGTCATTCACAAAACTTTCTTATGCTTCTGATGGAACATGACACATACTTTTCTCTATAGCTCACAAGGTCTGGAGAAATTTTCACCACAAACCTTTGTCAACAACTCTAGTGTTGAAATATTCAGTTTTGATGAACAGAAATGACAATTCAAGACATCACTTAACAAAACGAACCTAGTAGAAAATAGTCATTTGGTTGGGAAATTTTATTTCATCCTCCATACTCATTAGATCTTACACCACAAGATAGATGTGTTTTGATCATTAGAACATTTTCTTCAGGACATCTTTCACTTTTCTTGTCATCAACAGTCCTATTATTTTATCAGCAGGGGATGGAAAACTTGCTTTTACATTGGGCTAATAGATGTAATTATATTACTGCTTAATAAAATTTAACTAAATTTTAAAAATTTCAATACAATCATTCATTGATTTATATGTTTAATTTATTACAGCTGTGTTATTTGAAGATGCTGTGATCCTTGGCACAGGAAGTGAAGCAATATCCTATTCCTTTGGTAGTTTGGACCGCCACTTACCTTCTGACCTGCCCTTCTGCATGCTTGACAGAACTGTAAGTAGACACATATCTTCTTATAAGTATATTTATTTATTTTGTAATTCTACTTATCCATGCTTGTTTGGTAATCTCTGTTATGAGCATCTGAATTTATCTTGGAAAAATAACTAAAAAAAAAATTTGATCTTGTTTGATTGACTAGTTGTATATATTCAGCAAATTCTTGTCAATGAACTGTTGACATTTGGACTCTGGTAAAATGTGGCTGGTCCTTGCTCTGAAACCACATTGAAGTTATAAGACTATGAACTTGTAACATTCTCTTTGAGAAAGAAACTGAGAAATAAAGTAAAACACTCTAAACTTAATTTCATACTTTTTGTTTCTACCTCTGTGATTAGAATATAATCTTGTGAGATTAAAAGAAATGAAATTGTATTTTTACTACCAGGTTGGTAATATTTGATGGTATAATTTTGTTTAGGAAAGAAGAAAATTAAGATGTTTTTTTTCTCATAACCACTTCTATATAACACCTTCAAATTATTATTAACAATTCTAGTCATTCAATGTAAAAATAATCAAATTCTAGAACCCTTAATTGGTAAGCATGCATAATAGCATATATACAGTCAGATATTCTGGTCACTTATACATTGTTAAAATCTTAATAGGTATCAAATATATGAGGTCTTAGGTTATGTTATATTGCTTTACTGTAATCTGATAATATTCTAAGTTTTATTTGTTTGTCTTTTTTCCTATTTAATCTCACCATATTTTACTAAGATTATAACACTAATTTGAATTAATTGCACATTAAAGATTTTACTCTTTGAGGCACTTTGTTTTTAAACCTTTATTAAATTATGTAGATTTTAATTAATTTTAAAATTTAGTAAGAATTTGTTTGTTTTTCTTTTATAGAGCCAAATTTATCTTCATCACATTCTTCGACAATTGTTAAGAAGAAAGTAAGTTTTCTTTATTCAATTTAAAAAAAATAAATCATTTAGTATTGTATGTATATTATGTAATATATTTTAGTTTGCTTATTTTTAAATCAAATGTTTTCTGTCTGTTTATTTTTTAAAAGAAACCAAAGGCAAGATGATGTGATTTAATCATTTTGAACAGGGTATGATAGTGGGTGTCAGATGGATGGAATAGTTTGTTTTTGAAATTGTGAGTGTATTTGACATTCATTGTGCATACCAGTATTGCAGCCATTTGTGAACAGTGCAGTAGCTGACTGACCAAAGGCTAGAATTGTTTACAATAACTGACAAATGACACTGACTCAAATCACAACCAGATTCAATTCAGGAGGTACCAAATGCATATTCAGTAGATCAGTTCAGCATTAACTGTTCTTTCTATCACAATTCTAAGATGCTCTGTGACTCCCTGGCTGTTTTGAATAAAAGTGATGTGTGAAAGTATTTGATTGGGGAGCTTTACCAGACAAAGGAAGATTTTCTCCTCGGGGGCTTGGTTACCTAAGTTAAAATTCACCAATAAAGATGAAGCATCTCTCATCTGGCTGGTGATTTGAGCATGCTCTAGTTCTGCAAAAAATCTTTTGCACCGGGACTGGTTGCTTCACAAGAATCTGTCTGTTGTGGAATGAAAGAAACTATTGAGTTCAATACATGGTTGTATGTCTGCTAAGTAAACTTGTTGAAGGTTACATACATAAGAGACATTTCAGGTTATAACATGAATCTGCTTGAGATGAATAGACAGTATGTTTCTATCTTTACTGAATGTAATGCAAATAATAATTTTCAAATGAAGAAAAAACACACCTTCAGCCCAGCAGCCCAGCTGAATGACTATGTGGAAATGTTGATAAATGGTAATCAAACACCAACAACTTTTCCATATTATTTTATTTACTTATTTATTTTTCCTTGTCATTTTTGGACTTTTACAAAAATAAATAGTAGTTTTGTAATCTGTCTTTGATTCGACAAATTTATAAGAAAAAATTGAATATTATGTTTTTAACAGTGTGTATGTTGGATATGACAGTGGTTTGAGAGTGTTTTATTATGAGGTGAAAATCATTATCCTGCTGGTAATTTCATAAATTTTGTCCAATTAGATTTGTTAATCACTGTCTACTGTGATGACCTGCTGTATACCAGGTGTCCTGCTTTTATGGTTTTGTGCCAGATAAATGAGGCACAGGTCTCATAGCTGAACAAATATTTCCGGGGGTGGGGGTCAATAATTGGCGCTTTAGGCTAGTCTTCCTAACCCAATTACAAGTAAAATAAATATCAAAGGAGAAAAAACAAAAAAAATATGTAAGTAATCAAGTTTTGAACAAAAAAATATCCTTGTGTTTATACAAATTATCCTCAAAAGTTCTCTCATACAAACACTAAAAAACTGTTTGAGGAATGAAACTATTGTGCGGTCATTTTATACATTTTTGTAACATTGTTCATCTTGCATCATTAGTCAATTTAAGTTTACTCAGAGATTGTAAAAGTGAAATTTGGGCCATATCAAATGAATTTCAGATAAAACCCCAGAAAAACGTATTTGAACAATTTTTCTCCTCGGCACAAAGCTTATATTCATCATGAAATTAGATTTTGAATAACTAAAGGTTGTCAGCTTTTGGGATGTTTCACACAGATGAAGCAATGCTGTGAACTAATTTTCAACTATTATAATAGCATGGTAACCCTGGTTTAATGATTTTATTGCTTGATAATGTCTATTGAAGACAAGAAGCAGAAAATAATTAAAATTAAACTGAAAAAAATCCAGTAAAACTAATTAAGAGTGAAGGAAGAATGGATTAAAGGTAACAATTAGAAGATATAAAATCAATTCAGAGAAAGCTCTAGGTTACAAAAAAAAATGAAACTGAAAATAAAATTAATTAAGATTTACTAAGAAGATCCATCAACCAACCTCTATCTAATATTTGTTTGTCTTGCAAAATTTCCCCAATTTTTTTAATCATTTTGCCTCAAGCAAGGCTTTGACACTAAGGGTTACCAAGTATGAAAGAGTATGAGAAAAAGAAAAACATTATTAAGAAGAGACAACAATAAAAGAACAGGAAGTAAGGCAGAAGACAATGATTGATCTTCAAAAAATTTACATGCAATGTCAAAGTTGACTATAAGGGAGTTGCACAAACAAGAAGTGCAAGAGAAAATACTGTTAGCATAGAATTTATAGTTACATCTAGTCCTTTCAAATGTAAAATGATGATGTTTAACTGCCAATCAAGTACTGCAGTTTAATTTTTTTTAGCAAGTAAAAGCAAAATGCCATAACAATTCAGAAATTAAACTTCCCAATAAAAATTTGTAATAATTTCTAATTCAACTTTTAGTAAAAAAAAAAAAAAAAATTAAATTTTTTCATTTTAAGACATCTTTAACATATTAAATGTCCTCAAGGACAAATGGACCAGTGGATAAAGGTTTATTTCGATCCAGTGACAGGACCCAAAGAGTGTGAGTTCAATAACTGGATAAAGCAGTGGAGAACTTTTCAGAATAGATTAAAAGGAGATAACTTACATCCATTAAAACATGTCACAGTGAGCGAAATAAGGCTTTCAATTCGATATTCCCAAAACCTGAAAATGAAGGCTGGAGCGTACATTGATCGAAACTTTGTAATAAAAATGACAACATAGATGATGAGGACAATAGTCTGAATAATGAAAATAATGATGATTGAAATTTATTCAAATTCTAAATGTCACAGAATTAAACATTTCTTTCAGTTTTGTGATTTGACTCATTTGTTAAGTTTGATGGATGAGGTCCTTAGGTACAGCATTCGAAAGGATAAGAAAGAAATTGAATTTTCTTTTCAAGTCCTGAATATTCTTGTGACCTCATCCATCAAACTCAGCAAATGATCCATAATCTTGGAAGAAGCACTTTCAGACACTTTCTGTTTTACTAAAAAAATAAATAATAAAATTTTCCTCTCAATAGACTTAGTTTTGTTTTGAATAAAATCATTTGCCTCAACATTTCATATGCAAACAGACCCTTTCGCTGCAATATATTAAAATCATATAATTTCTCAAACATATCAGCTGTTTTAATCATCTTCACTCCTATTTTGGTCACAATTTTTTTTAAACAATAGGAGTTTTAAAACAAGAATTGGGAAGACACTATCACTAACCCAAGGATACAAGAAATGGGCCATGTGTCCAGGAGAGGATTTTATTGGCAACTCTATTCAGTATCAAAAAATCAAAATTAAAAGAAATAAGAAGGTCCTGCTTTAAAATATTTACAAAAATACAAAAGACAGTTTTTAAAAGCATTATATTAAAAAAAAGAAAAGAAAATAAAAAAAAAAAAAAAAAAGATTAATTTAACATTGAAAACGATTCAAAAAAATCTCTGGCTTCCGTTTCAAAACAATTCCGCGATTCCCGTGATCGATTCCCGTAATCGATTCCCGTGATCGCTGAAAATTGGGGTTCCCTTCCACACACATACAGGTAGAATCTAAGTAGGCAAAGAATCGAAATCGGAATCGGAATCGTCTTGGTATCGGAATCGTGAATCAACATTTTCCTGGAATCGGTATCCTTATTGGAATCGGAAAAAAATTAGAATCGTCCCAACACTAATCTTAAACTAAAGTTTTTTTTATATTTAAGCCAATATGCACAGATCACCTGCTGCACAGCCTCTATATGTGGCATTTAACTGTAAAAAATTGGGAAAGGGGGCCCATTGCATTTTCGGTCCAAGGGCCCGTAATACTCTCAGTCCGCCCCAGCCTCTATCTAATTCAAAGGAAATGTAAATGCATTTCAGGTTTGCCTTTTGTTTACCTAGTTGCATAGTTAAGACAATCATTCCAATCTCATTTTACTGCCGTCTACCTGAGTAACTGTTGAAGTGGCTGGTTTCAGCCAGTTCCTTGCTATATTCAGCTGTTTTTAGCCCGCCAAATTCATAATTGATATAGAGAAGCCAGTTTTAATTAATGATTGTGTTTTTACATCTCAATACCATAACATTGCATGTTAATTCAACTGATTCACTCATAATCTTTTAAACTCTTATCTTTTATTTTTTTTTCTTTATTTTCCTTGCTGTCAGACAAGATGCACCTATCATAATCACCGCTCTCTATCAATAACTTAAATTTCATGCCTATGAGAGCTCTCTCTTCTGTCCTTCCCTGTTTGTTCACATGGCTTCCTTCAGAGTGCATTCCTTCCACTCTCCCACAGCACTTAATGATTACTACTGGATTTTGTCAAAAAAACAGTGTAAAATATCATCTTGTAACATTTACTGAGGAAATGATATTTAGTGCTGCATGTTCAATAGCTAAACATTTTTTTTAATTTTAATCATATTCATTTGGGTCACCCTTGCTCTTTCTGTGGTTTAAATGTTTCCTTCCTGCACCAGGGCCAGAGTCCTTTTTTGGGAGTTCTGTTTTCTTTGTCCATTTCAATCTTTTTCTACATACATACATTATCTTCCTTGATTTCCAATCCATTAACCTTTGCTACACTTTGGTTTTCCCTATCCAGTGCTTCTGGGAGAAAAATCCAATTGCCAGAGATTGCTTTGACCTATGTCTCTCTCAGTTACATATGAAACAGACTAGCCTTTTATCAAGAATGCGCAGATACTTTCCATTCCATGAATACCAATGATCAATGTTGGTCACATCTTTTTCCCAGTTTTCACTCCTATGATTAATGGCACCAAATGTGCCTTTAACTATAGAATTGTTCATGTATTGAATATTGCTGTCACATCTGGTCTGGTGCTTCTGCTATGTATTTAGAGATTCTTGATAAAATCATAAGAAGAATTTGCAATGTTATTGATCCTGACATGGCATCTCTTCCACTTTCCCACTGCTGTTGTAACCCTTTTTCGTCATCACAGCATCAAGTGTAACATAAATGTTACCTAATCAGCTATTCTGGTCACCATATGCTGAATAT